TCCCGGACCGCAAGATCGTGACCTGGCTGAAGTCGGACGCTTAACCGACTGCGCCACCCAGGCGCCCCCCTAACATCTATTTAAATGACTATCCATTATTGGTAAAATAGTACTATGCAATAAATAATAACATATAATGGAAAGCTTTTTCTCTTTCAATACCAACGGCCTATTTCAGTTTCAGGTTTACTATGTCATCTCAAACGCTTCCTCCAAATTTGGTTACGATTGTTGATGAAGAAATTGCAGGAAATAAACTACTTGATCAAAAATGCATATTTTAAAAATTGAGACTTGCATGCTAAGCATTGAGAAAGAGAACCATAAATACATAACCCACCCCAAGTGGACTCTGGTTAATATCAGACATGTTGCTACATCTAAAAGACGTTCAGCCATAGGACAAAAATCAAATACAAGAATAAGATACATGTGTCATATATTAACAAGTACAAGTGAATGTGACAGTTTGGAAATTTGGTGGAAGGGAATCACAGCACTGTATGTCATAATCAGAATTAGTACTCTGTTCTAGATCACCAGAAACACACCATTTCACTTCCCATTTGTCTCTTAATGCTCCCCAAATGATCTGAGTTAGGAGACTGACCAAAGACCTGAATGGCAAATCTCTTTCTTTCATTGGAACTGGAGGAGAGAAAGAACACGGAGAATGCTTCAGAGGCCGATTTGACCGATCACTGGACAAACAAAACTGAAAATATTCGGGGGACCAATGGAGATCTATTAGGGTTCAGGTAACATAAAGTCAGGACAGCACAGGCTTCAGAATCAGGAATACCCAAGTGTGAATCCTGCACAGTCATACACTATGTGACCTCTAGCGAGTTACTTAACATCTGTGAACCTCCATTTCCTCATTTGTAAAACCCAGAGAAAGAACTGCCTTACAGGGTTGTTGATAGAATTCAATACGTTAATGTGCACACAGTGTATCTGGTACATATTCGGTGCTAAGGAAATATTTATTCCATTCCCTTCCTCTACAAAAACAGATAATTAGAATTTTTACTTCCCATTTTTAAAAGCTTCCCATCAACTTAGCATATAAAACATCATACCAGTACTGAGAAAAATGTGTGCCTGTAACAACACTGCATTTTCAAAATGTTAACTGTTTTACATTGTCATGCTTACTAATATTTATCTTGGCATAGAGTCAATAACCGTACAAATATTGCATAGTACATGTAGTGACTGCCTTACTAGAATCTGATTCCGTTTCGTAAACTTTCGGTGAATACCAGTATGGCCAGCTCGAGAGACATTACAAAATAATCAGACACAGTTCCCACCCCACAGAAACTGACAGCGTGTGTAAAGAAAGGCCAATGTACTTCTGACATGTGCTCTACTGAATATTTTTATAATTATCTGTAAGCCGACCTCTCTCTAAGGTTGAGTTGCGTTTAGATTTCATAGCCCGTTTTTGTCATTTTATTGATTGTTTTTTAGATATCCAAGCACAGTTTGGTTCGCATTGATTTTTATAGTATAAAGAACACATCGCTTCCAGTTAATATTATCAAAATAGGAATGGGCACGCAGTTAATGGGCACCTTGCAAAAGATGGAAAGAGACAAGATCTCTTATCCTGAGATCTTATAATACTTAAGCCAAGATTTTCGCTTTGTATGTCTCTCCACCACTTCCACGTTTTGAAGAGGGGAAAAAAAAAAAAAGCACACTCTCTGCGTAACCACAGCATCAACCACTGCTGCCTGCTGGCCAGAAAAAGGGTAGTATTAAGGGTGCAGTCATCTGCTTGCCACAGACTGCTGGCAAGGCAAGAAAAGCTAATTAGCACCCCAACCCTCACCCTTATCCTGACCCTCCTTTCCATGCTCCACCATCTGGCTGGCCTTCCCTTCCCCTACTGCTCCGGCTTCTTTCTGCATCCTCTGGCTTGGGAAGGTCACAGACGTTTGCCTATCCTAGCAAGAGACAAGAACCGGCTTCAGCAGCACGCTAGACCATGAATTTCTAAAAATCTTAAAGGAAATTGCACAAATCACCTCCTCCCCCTTCCCCCCAACACTGTTCTCTTTCACTGGTGCCTGTTGTCTTACTGAAAACATCTACTCTGTCTAAGACAATCTTTAGGTCTGGAATCCAATCTGCTTTGTAATTGACAATTGTCTCGTGAAAGGTAAGCACCTAGTTCCTACACTGAGTCTCTCTCACCGATTTGATTGGGACTTGGGGGACAGCAATAGGATATAAAATCATTAAGTAAATATAGTACCTTTCAGCATAAAGCCACAGGAAATGGTGAGAGGTACCTTTGGTATGAAGCAGCAATGACAGCTCAAAGGCCATTACTTATTAAAGATGCCAGAAAAAGAGAGTATCAGTGAAGTCAACTAACATTTTGAGAATTCACAGAATAAAAAGAGTGAAACTTCCAACTAGTAATCAAATATAGACTATCAATTAACAGACAAGAATTATGATTTTCCTATTTACCTGAGACATAAAACAATCTAAATACACTGAGGTTTCACTAACAAAACTCCTTGTTACTAGGTTTACTAGGATTTGGTTACAAAAACAACAGTATATTTTTTTTCTGTATTTTGTTCTTGCGATGACTTATTTTTTCTCTTCTTCTACCTTATAGTAATATAAGCTATACACTTTTTAAAGAAAATCTAGGAGTGCCTGGGTGACTCGGTCGGTTAAACATCTGACTCTTGATTTCAGCTCAGGTTGTGATTTCACAGTTCATGGGATTGAGCCTCCTCATTGACAGCTCAGAGCTGCTTGGGATCCTCTCTCTCCCTCTCTCTCTGCCCCTTCCCTGTTTGTGCTCCCTCTCTCTCAAAATAAATAAATAAACTTAAAAAAAAAATGTAACAGTGCCAGCTTAAAAAACAAAAGGCGATAGAAAACAAACTTTGAAAATTACAAAGGTGGGGCACCTGGGTGGCTCAGTTAGTTAAGGGTCCAACTCTTGATGACAGCTCAGGTCATGATCTCGTGGTCCGTGAGTTCGAGCCCCACACTGTTGGTGCAGAGCCTGCTTGGGATTTCTCTCTCTCTTTCTCTCCCTCGCTCTCTGCCCCTCCCCCCCTTGCCCATGCACACGCGTTCCCTCTCTCTCTCTCAAAATAAGTAAAAAAAAAAAAAAAAAAAAAGAATTACAAAGCTGTAAATATTAGCTCAGAATAAAAAGATGATTAGAATCTTGGAGAGAAGCTTCAGTTAAGCTTACTATAAAAGAAAGTGCCCGAGGATATCTTTTCATTTTCAGAACAGGAGGAAAGGGAGACTGACAAACTCCAGTCTACATTATTCTTCGAAATTGTGTAAAATTAAGCTGTGACTCAGACCCGTACAGAACGCCAGAGGTTTCCTGCCGGTAGGGAACACCTGTAACTTTTTTCCCACTCACCCACTGAACTGTCTTCTTATGTTTGGAGAACTCCTCACCATTGGAGTCTCAGCAAGACACAGGGTCTGCCTCCCACTCGATAGATGCTAAAAAAGCCAGCCAGCCATTTCTTTTGCAGGCCTAGGTTTGGCCAAGCAGATGCGCTGGCCCAGAATTTGACCCAAAGCAATAGAAATGTGGCAGATTTGTTCTAGTAGCTCTACCCAATTTCGGAAGGCAGCTGGGACAGAGCATCAGCTTATACACAGTGTTGGTGGGGGACGGCAGCTACAACATCAACTCTTTCTTGGCAGCAATAATGACCTTCCCAGACATGTTCCGGGGCCCTTGGCATGTAGCTTCTTTTGACCCCTAGCCGTCCCACGATTCTGTGAGCAATTGGTACGTCTTCAGTACCTTCATTTTCTGCCGTCAGAATCAGCCTCTGTGCTTACAACTAGGAACCCTAAAGGGACACAGAACCTCTGGAATAGTGACTTTGAATTAAAAAGACAGGAACCAGGGAATACAGTTTCTCTTAGAAGCTACATACTGCGCACAAAAGACATCCAGTTGAAGGTCAGAGTATTAGTAAAGAGACACGTGTATATTTTTCCTTCATGTAAGTCAAGGAGGTGTGTCCGGGAGGATATGTGGGGAAAAGGCCAGTTTCAGTGATAATCTAGAAACAACGAAGGGAAACCTTATCCCTTTATCTAGGTCCAGACTTAGATATCTAACTTACACAGTTAAAAATGCAGGAGTACAAAATAACTGTAGGCATTTTACAATTACATAAAACAAAAATACATAAAACAAAATAGAGTATACTAAACACATGAAAATGGTCCGCCTCGGGGAGGCGGACATAGGAGTGGGGAATGGAGTTGAAGGACATGGTTGCAGAAACACGTGCAAAATGCAAGGCTTATGTCTGAAGCCCTCTGGCCTACGTGCCTGGTAACATTTCCTCAGTCCCTGCGATCTCTGAAAGAGAAAACAAAACTCTCCAGCTGACCAACCTTCAGGCTTGGAGATGAGCAAAGCAGCGAGGAGCCTGAGGTAACAATGGGACTGAACCATCAAGCTGAGGCTCCCCACCCAGGTGCAAACAGACAGCAGGGGGTGGTCAGGATACCTGCCACGGAGATCCACCAGCAGGGGATGATGATGTCCAACACCCTCTTTTACCAACAAAACTCTTTCCATCTATGCCTAACTATAGTACAGTGATATTCTCATGTTTGAGGGCGACGAAAGAGTTTGGAAATAGATTGAGGTGAGGATTGCAATAACATCACGAATGTAACTAATGCCTCTGAATTGTATCCTTAAAATGCCAAGGTTTGTAAGCATGGAAGTTCCTTGAAAAGTTAAAAACAGGGGCGCCTGGGTGGCGCAGTCGGTTAAGCGTCCGACTTCAGCCAGGTCACGATCTCGCGGTCCGGGAGTTCGAGCCCCGCGTCAGGCTCTGGGCTGATGGCTCAGAGCTTGGAGCGTGTTTCCGATTCTGTGTCTCCCTCTCTCTCTGCCCCTCCCCCGTTCATGCTCTGTCTCTCTCTGTCCCAAAAATAAAATAAAACGTTGAAAAAAAAATTAAAAAAAAAAAAAGTTAAAAACAAAACTACTCTCCGATCCAGCAACTGCACTAGTAAGTATTTACTCAAAGGATACAAAAGTACTAATTCGAAGGGGTACATGCACCTTGATGTTTACAGCAGCATTATTAAAATTTAAAAAAAAATTTTTTTAAACGTTTATTATTTTTGGGACAGAGAGAGACAGAGCATGAACGGGGGAGGGGCAGAGAGAGAGGGAGACACAGAATCAGAAACAGGCTCCAGGCTCCGAGCCATCAGCCCAGAGCCTGACGCGGGGCTCAAACTCACGGAGCACGAGATCGTGACCTGGCTGAAGTCGGACGCTTAACCGACTGCGCCACCCAGGCGCCCCTACAGCAGCATTATTAACCATAGCCAAACACAGGAAAGAGCCCAAATGTCCATCGACTGACGACTGACGAATGGGTAAAGAAGTTGTGGTATACATATACGATAGAACACGACTCAGCCATCAAAACGTATGAAGTCTGAAGTCTTGCCATTTGCAATGACACGGATGGAGCTAGAGAATATTACGCTAAGAAAAGTAAGTCGGTCAGAGAGAGACAAACATCACTGATCTCGCTCAGATGTGAAATTAAAAAAACAAAACAAAACAAAACAAATGAGCAAAGGGAAAAGAAAGACAGAGAGGCAAACCAAGAAACACGCTTTTAACTTTAAACAAACTGATGGTTACCAGAGGAGGGTGGGGGGATAGATGAAAAAGTGGATGGGAATTAAGGAGGGTACTTGTGATGAGCACTGGGTATTATATTTAAGGGATGAACCACTAAATTCCACACCCGAAACTAACAGTACACTATATGTTTTTAACTGGAATTTTAATAAAAAATAGAAAAGAATGCCAAGGTTTGCCATATATATTTTTACCACAATTTAAAAATACTAAAAATGACATACACTAAAAACCATTGGAATTACACACTTTAGATGGGTGAATTGTATGGTACGTGAGTTATATCTCAACAAAACTGATGAAAATTATTCAAAGTATTTAGGATTTTTATTTAAACCATTGGCATTTGGTGCTATCCATCACAATCTTTTGGGAACTGAGAAATTGCTCCTCCTGTCTGACAACTAGTCACTTCCTTTCGCAGCACATTAGACGGGTATATTAGAGACCACAGAAACACAAACGTCCCCAGGTTTGAAACACACCAGAGGGGCGCACCTGGGTGTCTCAGTCGGTTGAGCGGCCGACTTGGGCTCAGGTCATGGATCTTGGCACTTTATGAGTTCGAGCCCCGTGTGGGACTCTGTGCTGACAGCTCAGAGCCTGGAGCCTGCTTCACATTCTGTGTCTCTCTCTCTCTCTCTGCCCCTCCCCTGCTCATGCTCTGTGTCTCTCTCTATCAAAAATAAATAAAGTTAAAAAAATTTTTGAAACACATCAGAGATTCATTTTTGAAAAGAAATGGAAGGGAACAGGGGCGCCTAGCTGGCTGGCTCAGTCGGTAGAGTGTGCAACTTTTGATCTCGGGGTTGTGAGCTCGAACCCCACACGGGGTGTGGAAATTACTTAAAAATAAAATCTTAGAAAGAAAGAAAGAACCAGAAGGGAACAAATAAGTAGAACCTGGCAGAGACAGACTCTCACCTAGAGATGGGCAGCACAGCCAGAGGGAAGTTAAGAAGTATCCAGGGGAAATGAAAACCACGCTTGGTAGTGATGGGCTTTTTATTTTAATCTATGAGATTTCATTGAGCAGCTACTGGCTCCAGGCCCACCCAGCACAAGACAGCTCCCCTCATGGGATCACCTGTAGCTGTCGGGTCTGAGCTGCAATGGGAGGCCTGGGCCTGGGGAACCTCGCAGCTGTGCAGGGATCAGGGCACAGTTTCTCCATGTCTAGACAAGCTCCTGTGTTGGTCCTCCCCATTCCTACCTCCATGCCCTCAATCACGCTGCTCCCTACACCTGCAAAGTCCTTCCCTCTTATCAGCGTTTCTCTGAATCCTACCCAACCCCCTCCTTCCCTAGCGCCCAGCTGGAGAGCCACCTTCAAGACAAACCAAACTGGTTCCAAAATCATTGTAGACACAGTTCCCAGATACTTTTGACCAGGCAGGGAACGGGGTGGGGTGGGGGTGGGGGGTGGAAATCAGAAGGGTCTAACAGGCTCTTATTTTTGGCAGGGGTAAGGCAAGCAGAACAGGGCTAAGGGAAAATACTGCCCCTACTATTCCCTACAATTCTCAGGAAGTGGTGTGAATCCTCCAAGTTTACACCCCCTAGGTTACCTAATGATCTTCTTTCAACACCGTTTGCATTTCTTTAAAACTATTCATATAATATATTTAGTGACTTTACATGTTAATTCAGTGTAATGGCCTGTCTTTACAAATCATCCTTCTGTAATTATAATGGGAAAAACAGGTTATGTGCACATTTTTTCTCTCCAAGTTTGACATCTAGCTTTTGTTAAATTCCTATTAATTGCTACTTTTGGGGGCTTCTAAGGAAATGTTTGCACTGCCCAGAACAGTTGCTTCCCAAGTTTTCAAAAGTTACACACGTAGAAAATGATAGGGGTGCCTGGGTGGCTTAGTCAGTTAAGCATCTGACTTCGGCTGAGGTCATGATCTGTCCATTCATGAGTTTGAGCCCCGTGTAGGGGTCTGTGCTGACAGCCCAGAGCTTGGAGCCTGCCTCTGATTCTGTGCCTGCCTCTTTCTCTGCTCCTTCCCCACTCATGTTCTGTCTCTGTCTCTCTCTCAAAAAAAAATAAACATTAAAAAAAAAAAGTCACACACCTAGAAAATGATAATTATTTTTTATTTAGGAATACAAAAGCAAAGGGCTAAGGCAATCATATCCCCAATTCCTCTGCGCAGGGCCCCAACTCATTCATTCATTCATTCATCCATCTATCTATCTATCTCCTTCATTCATCCATCCATCTGTCTATCTCCTTCATTCATTCATCCATCTACCAATCTATCTCCCTATCCATCCATCCATCCATTCATCCATCCCTTCCTTTCTCCTTCATTCTCCCCTCCTATTCCCACTTCCCACAGACAATAGTTCTGAGTGTTTAATGTGTACTATTTTGTCTCCTGTGTTATTATAAAATGTAGAGTTATTTCGTACTCCCGAATGTCCAGTTTGTGTAAGTGACATCATGTTGTAGATCTCATTTGCTTTCTTCCTTTATTCCCTGAGCACGGTCTTGCTGTGTCTACATCTAAGCTGTTACGTTGGATTTCAGGGTGGACACCTCCCACGCCTAGCACCCATCCCCAGGGGTGGGCACCTGTATCGCACCTGCCATGGCGATTGCCCTCGTACGTGCCCCCTTATGGACCTGAGAAGGATTTGTTGAATCACAGGGGTTACAGATATTCGTCGTGAATAAGTAGTGTCTATTGCTCTCCAGACTGCTGTCTACCCTAGTCTAAGAGCTGTGTGTAGCATTTCCTACAGGCCCACAACCACAGCCACACCTGGCATGGAAATGAGAATATTGATACGGACACCAGAGTGAAAAGATAAGAAAAAGAGGCCCTGCCCTTGGGCAGCCTGAGGCCCTCCAGCCTCCCCGAGACAGAATACCCATTCACATCACAAGGCATTTCTCTGTGTCACAACACAGATGAGGAATGCTAGGGTAGGATGCCCTCCCCACTGCTACTATCTTCTGAAAAAATGACTCAAGTCTCAGGATTGTGTGGAATGAGGGAGAGTCACTGTTAAATTTCTCAGGATGTCACTTTGGTAATCTCTGTTCCACCAGGAACAGTCACGATTGCTGACCATTCTGCCACCATCCTGGGAGCTATATCCATCTAAGGAAGAAGCATATGCGGACAGAACTGGTCAAGGCCTCACGGGCAAGGTTCTGAGGAACAAGGGGAATCCAGGCCTGCTTGACTGCAAACCACAATCTCTTCCTATGCCTTTGTGGGACATACTTCACAAGAAGGGGCAGAAATACAGGCTGCTCAAGAAGTTAACTTTGCTCCTTGGGGAACGTGGAAGTGTTCCCTGCAGAGTCACGACCGGGCTCCCCCACGAATGCTGCAGATTCCAAGAGCACAGGTCCCTTTCTTTTGCTTTGTCACCTTGGGGTTTTAGGGATTTCAGTATAGCAGTTGAGATACAAACCCATAAACTTTATTTAGAAAAGCACGATGATCTGAGAACCATAGAGTTTGCTTTGTTAGGTTGTGTGTGTGTGTGTGTGTGTGTGTGTGTGTGTGTGTTGTTTTCCTTTAGAAGTGTAAATTAAGTGACTGATGTGTTTTCACAGTCCGTGGGTTGAGGCTGACAGAAAGAGTAAGGTAGGTACCTTTTCCATTCCTAAATGATGGAAAGAAGGAAAAGATCCCCAAGAGTTTATTTTTTTACAAAACCCTTTTGAAAAATCCTGGTTTATGGGGATGATAAGGAGATAAATAGCTCAAGAGATGACATCTTCATTTATTCATATGAAATGTAAATGTTTGCTGCAGTCCGGAATGAGAATTTTCAGGATATCCATATATATTAAGTTCCGGAAGAGGGAGACACATTTGCTTACATGCTTCTCTAGAAATGAAGATAATATATTAACCAGGCAGAAAGCTAATCTAGTATGCTTGGCTTACATTTCGTAGTTTCTGACAGAACCACAGGCTGAGGATAAGGAGGGACGGACATAATCCCCTTCCTAATAATGAAGTGTTTGACTACTCAGGGGTCATCACGGGCATACTGAGTGGTTCTCTGGATTTCCAGAACAGCATTTCCACCATCTTTCCACCTTGGTTCTTTCATTAGATGTATGATGTCCAATATATGTCATGGGGACTTAGGACATTAGTGTGAGAAAAAGAAATGGGACTTCAAAGAAAGAATACTAAAACAGTGACTCCAACAGTTATAATTATATGTACATAATTTAGACATGGTTAATTATGGTTTCCCATCTACATATTTAGAAAGACTGTAGATAGCATAATTTTTGGATGTGATAAGGTACGATGATATCAAAATACACATGCACGTGTCTACACAGATACACACATGCAAGACCAGAAGCCAGGGTGCCTGGGTGGCTCAGTCAGTTAAGTGTCCACCTCTTGATTTCAGCTCCCGTCATGATCCCAGGGTCGTGGGATTGAACCCTGTGTAGATCTCCCTCTCTTTCTGCCCCTCCCCTCTCATCTTTCTCATTCTCTTTTTTTTTTTTTTAATTTTTTTTTTCAACATTTATTTTTATTTTTGGGACAGAGAGAGACAGAGCATGAACGGGGGAGGGGCAGAGAGAGAGGGAGACACAGAATCGGAAACAGGCTCCAGGCTCTGAGCCATCAGCCCAGAGCCCGACGCGGGGCTCGAACTCCCAGACCGCGAGATCGTGACCTGGCTGAAGTCGGACGCTTAACCGACTGCGCCACCCAGGCGCCCCTCTCTCTCTCATTCTCAAAAAAAAAAAAAAAAAAAAGAAAGAAAGAAAACACTCACCTCTAACTTAACCAACACTGCCCCCACTTTTAGGCCATTTCTTCAGGGGCACAAAAGAGATCAGACAAATCTGAATGGAGATTTTCAGGTACAGCGAGATATTGCTGTTTCCAAAAGAAAGGGAAGGAGAGAACCGTTCAGTTTGTTTTCGTGAGAGAAAATCATGAAGAAGAAACCAGAGGTGCTTACTAAGATTTTAGTTTGATGGGAAACACCCTGGGGGAAAAAAAAAAAAAAAAATGATGGGAAACACCCTGAGTGTTAGACCAAACCGAGATTGTCGCTTTCATCTGTACTTGAGACGTTGTAGAGTCCCTGGGGATAATTACGCTGCCCTCCTCCATATTTGCACCTATTAAGTTCACAACATCATCCAGCCCAACGAAAGTGGCAGAACAGGATACCACATACTTTGTGGCTGCTACTGTAGTCTGCATGTGTTGGTGAGAGTTCTGCTCTATTTCCTGCCGTTCAAATGTTTTTAAAACCTCACTGCCATCTAATGACTTAGGACTTTTACATCCTGAGTGGGTCAGCATAACATTCATATCTGGTGCTTAATCAAAAAGAAGGCTCTTATTGGGTTAGAAGAAACTGAATGGTAACTTGCAGGGACGGTTCAAAATAGTCTCCCGTGTGATGCTGGGCTTCTAAAAGGAAGGAAGTCTAACAGACAGACAGACATTCTTTACCCAAAAAAAAAAAAAGTTTAGTATTTAACAGGTCCCACATTTTCTTACAAATTCCTTAAATCATTTTCTAACACACTGCTTCAACTTCACCTTCGAGTAATTCTAAACACTTCGGTTGTGGCTATTTAGAGTTTTTGTACTCCAGAAAGGACAGAATTAGGCAGAACATGACTCTGTGATCTTCATTTTACCATAAACCATAAATTCCACGTTAGCACTAAACTAACATCGCATTAGACATGTGTGTTGTTTTATGTTAAATTGAGTTTCCTCTGGTTGCAAGTGACCAAAAAAAAAAAAAAAGGCGGGGGGGGGGGTTGGGGGGGGGAAGACAGAGAGAGTTTAAGCAAAAAAACCAAAGGGTGGAGACACTTGTGGGAGAACCCAGGAGCATCTGCTAAATGCAGGGAAAGAGGGACACCAGGCTTTGAGAGGGCAGAGACAGAGCATCTCTGGGAACCTCGCTGAGCACAAACACAGGCAGAGATTTTCTGCATAAAGTGCTTGCTGCCTCAAATGGTTCTAGATCAAAGAGAAACTGACTGTCCCTTCTTCCCTCAGGATTCAGCTCTGGACCAGTCAGCCTTGATGATAAGGTAGCACCAAAAAACAGAAACAAGACTTAGAAGAATCAAGAATCCACCCTTGTGGGCTCGGTGGGAAGTTCTTGGAGAGAAGGGGCAGCCCAGTGCCACCCACACTTTGACTTTAATACTATAACCACATATTACGGTTAAAGGCAAGCCTTGCTAATATTCCATAGTAGAGTGATGAACACATTAAATGATGTGTTCTTTCCTAATATTTTATTTTCATGACTTCTTCTTGATCTCACAACCCTAAGATCATGACCTGAGCTAAAATCAAGAGTCAGACACTTAAGTAACTGAGCCACCCAGGTGCTCCTAGATGTGTTCATTTGGATTAGAGTTCCAATCTGTGTGTAACTAAAACATCCTTTTATTGACTCCTACCCCCTTCCACCAATTAATTAGTGTTGTTTTTTTTCTCCTTCAAGGAATTGTTCATAAGAGAAGACATTAAAATAATTCTTAGGTTTACCTTTTCCTGAGGATGTCCTATAAGACCACACTTCCCCTGATCTAAATGAGAATTTCAAACATCTCCTAGGGATCGCTCAGTTAAGTTCAGTGAATGAGCGCTACTGTGAGCCCAAAGTAACAATTCTCACCACACTGTAAGTCCCTGAGTGCCAAAAGCTTGTCTAATTCGCCTTTGGATCCCTGCATGCACCCTCAGGCAAGCTCAAAAAAACATTTGTCAAATAAACGTATCTTATTTATCTTTCCTATTCAGATTTACTCCTCAGAGGGAGGAAGAGCCATGTGGATTTAAACTTCAGGTGCCACACAGGACTGACAAATGGCATGCATGGGGAAAGAACTCCAGATGTATCTTAACACGTATTTCTCAAATTAAAGAAAAACAGTAAATACAAAGAGATGTCAAATTTTTTAACGTTTATTTTTGAAAGAGAGACAGAGGGCGAGTGGGGGAGGGGCAGAGAGCCAGAGGGAGACACCGAATCTGAAGCCGGCTCCGGGCTCCGAGCTGTCAGCACGGAGCCCCACACGGGGCTCAAAATCTCGGGATCATGACCTGAGCCAACGTCGGACAGACCTACTGAGCCACCCAGGCACAATACATAGAGATTTTATATATAAAGGGTCTTCAGTCAGATTGAAGAGACCGAACAAGGTTTATAAAAAGACCACTCAAGAAACTCAGGGCTTTGCCTCGAAGCCAGATGAGTTGCCCCCCAAAGTAATCTCCAGAATAGAGGACGCACAGTGGGCTGGAAATGTGGGGAAAGACCCATGTGAGAGGTGGAGCCACTCAGGCTGCAAAGGTTGGGTGAGAGTCAGACCCGTGACAAGCCCACCACCCCAACCTCTGCAGGGCTTCCTAAATAGTCATGACCTTGCTCTTTTCAGTGGGATGATGAGTCAAACCAAAATTGGCATCAAAGCTGCTGGACTTTTTCGCCCCATTTTATGATTTTTGATTTTTGTTTGTTTGTTTTGTACCCAAAGCATAACAGGGAAAATAAAAAGACAGCAAAAACTTTGGCAATCACATAGGACACTTGAAGGAGTGATTTATTTGTTGCCTTTGGCAGGTTTCCACTAAAAGGTTCACTAAGCCTCTCCCTCGCTGGAGTTTTTGGGTTGGGGGGGGGGGTGGACAGGAGGTGAAGTCGGGAAGGACTGATTTTATCCTTCTCTGCACAAACTTTCACCCACCCTGCCTCTGAAAATAACTCTGTCTGGATTTTAAGAGGAGGGATCTTACAGAATACCGCATGTGAGATTAAAACTTTTTAAATGCGACAAAATCTAATGCGACAAAAGCAGTTGAATTGTATACTTTAAAATGGTTAAGAGTGGGGCACCTAAGTGGCTCAAGTCGGTTGACCGTCTGACTTGATTTCAGCTCAGGTCATGACCTCAGGGACTCGGAGGGAGCCCTGTGTCAGCCTCGGCACTGAGTGTGGAGCCTGCTTGAGATTCTCTCTTCCTCCCTCTGTCCCTCTCCCTCGTTCTCTATCTCTCTCAAATTAAATAAATAAATAAATAAATAAATAAATAAAATGATTAATGGTTCATTTTATGTTATATGAATTTTACCTCAATAAAAAGAAATGAATGGAGCACACTTAATTTGCCAAGGTCAGGAAATTTGTTCACTCTACTTTGTGTGTGTAAGCGCTAGACCAAGACTAAAAGTAATTTAGCCCTCTGAAGGAGTCCTGGGCAGGGATCTGAGTTTTGGTCCCAGCTCACCTTCATTGTGGGGAATCTTTAAAAAATATTTTTAAGTTTATTTATTTTGAGAGAGAGAGAGAGAGAGCTGGGAAAGGGCACAGAGACAGTGACAGAGAGAGAATCCCAAACAGATTCCACATCCCTAGCACAGAACCCGACTCAGAGCTCGAGCTCACAAACCATGAGATCAGGACCTGAGCTGAAGTCAAGAGTCAGATGCTTAACTAAGCTGTGCAGGAGCCCT